TGTTGTTTGGGCGGGGGGGGCGTTCCACATGTGTCCCTGTGGTACTTATTATGCGGACCCCCTAGTACCTATTATGCAGCCCTCTGTTATTTCTCATGCAGCACTCTGGTACTATGCTGCGGCCTGAGGGCCATATGCGGCCCTGAGGTACCTATTGTGTGGCCCTCTGGTACTAATCTGTGGTCCGGGGGCCACATGTGGCCCTGTGGTACTTATTTTGTGGCCCTCTGGTACCTGTACTTCTGCTAAGTATCCATACTTCTTCTCATGTGGCCCCTGGTCCTTTTTTATGCAGCCCTCTGGTATTTTTTGTGCGGCCCCCTGGTCCTTCCCGTGCGGCCCCCCTGGTCCTGATCTCTTGCAGTCTCATGTTACATGTCACCATCTATGACCATCCCAACTATGTGTTCTGACAATTCTCTGCACACTAGTGCGACCCCCCTGGGCATGTCAGGGGCCACATTTGGGGCCCCCTGTATCTAGTAGGACGATTACCACTGAGTTAGGTTCATGTCACACTGCTGATCCTGTCTCTGGTGATTGCTTACCAGCAGTGTGGAGGAGTGGGCGTCCCTAGGCAGGAGCATTTGCATGCAGACCGCCCACCTAAGCCTCCATGATTGAAAGGGGCGGGGCCAGGGACAGTCTGGGAGGAAAGCACAAGATGCTGCTGGACGTCCTCCAGCCAGGAAAGGAGGCGGGCTCCATATTGCTGCAGCTTCTAATACACATTGTGAGACGCTCCCAGCGTGCGGTGACATCAGAGGAGAGGAGCCGGTACAGCCGTGCAGGGAGATGAACACGGATACACGTTTGGTGAGAATCCGGCGTCATTTCCCCTTTAAATCCCATGCACTGTAATCTCTATCTGGGTGGATGATATGCCGGGCGGCTACTGTCAGCGTGACTCCTCCCTGTGTGCAGCCGGCGGGCGCGCCCTTCCAGGATTATGACAGGGCACGGTGTGAGTACAAGGTCCGCAGAAGCCCCGAGGAACGGGTGATGGAGGAGATATCAGAGGGCTGCGCGTTCCTGAAGCCAGCGATGGATTATATGACCGGATAGCACCGCGTCCCCTTCCTCACTCTAAAGACATCCGAGGACCCCCCCACCCATCACCGGAGGATAGCACCGCGTCCCCTTCCTCACTCTAGAGACACCCGGGGACCCCCCCATCACCGGAGGATAGCACCGCGTCCCCTTCCTCACTCTAGAGACACCCGGGGACCCCCCCCCATCACCGGAGGATAGCACCGCGGCCCCTTCCTCCCGCTGGAGACATCCGAGGACCCCCCCCACCCATCACCGGAGGATAGCACCGCGGCCCCTTCCTCCCGCTGGAGACATCCGAGGACCCCCCCCACCCATCACCGGAGGATAGCACCGCGGCCCCTTCCTCCCGCTGGAGACATCCGAGGACCCCCCCCACCCATCACCGGAGGATAGCACCGCGGCCCCTTCCTCCCGCTGGAGACATCCGAGGACCCCCCCCACCCATCACCGGAGGATAGCACCGCGGCCCCTTCCTCCCGCTGGAGACATCCGAGGACCCCCCCCACCCATCACCGGAGGATAGCACCGCGGCCCCTTCCTCCCGCTGGAGACATCCGAGGACCCCCCCCACCCATCACCGGAGGATAGCACCGCGGCCCCTTCCTCCCGCTGGAGACATCCGAGGACCCCCCCATCACCGGATAGCACCGCAGCCCCTTCCTCCCGCTGGAGACACCCGGGGACCCCCCCCATCACCGGATAGAAAGCCCTTTGATTGTCGGACTCTGGAAACCGTCTCGTCTTTTGCCGCGTCCTTCGGATAACGCTTATTATTGGAGTCATTCACATATCGGCGCGATGTGCGTTACCGTGTAATGGCGCCAAGACCCGGGCTGCCCGAAACGCAGCGGCACTTTTATATCTGTTGACCTGAGAAGATTCCCGGAGCTGGTCATGTTACGACGGCATTCAAAGGATGTTACCGACGGCGACCTCGGGGCAGCAGGTGGCGGAATCACGGCAAAGGGTGAGCTGGACTAATTGCCCTTCAATGGCTGAAATTTCCCCCTTGCTTCCTGTGTAGTCACCAGAACAGGAAGTGGGCGGGTACAAGCGTGGCAAAAGAGCTGCTTATATTTTACCTTCCCTGGAGCCCCGCCCCCAAATCAACAAGCTAATTACATTTTTAGATGGAAGCTTTCCATTTTCAATGTATATCTTATTTTGGACCCAGTGACATCATCACTAGGTAACTGTGCCTCTGTGTGCAGGCAGTATCATGCTGGTGGGAGGAGCTGGCAGAGTGCTGTAAATAGCTTCCTGAAAACATCACAGCACTCAAGAGTCCTCAGCCCTGATGCCATGGGCTGGCTCATGGGAGGAGTTATGCAAATAGAATGTCTTGTTGTGTGGGTGTCAGTCTGGTGGGGGTGGGCTTTTTTAAGCTGACATGGGAACGCCCACTTCCTTGTTTCCTGTGTGGTCACCGGGACAGGAAGTGAGCTGAGTCTCTTTTGTAGGGACACAGCTTTTGAGCTATTGTCTGGTTCATCACTGAGGACTAAGTCCCACCCCCATAACCAACACATGGGGGGGGGGAGGTGTAGAGAGACTATGTCCCGCCTGTAGTTCTCTGCATGCAGCCTGTAGTGGGTGGAGCCTGCTGGGCCCCTCCCACAGCTTTGCTCGGGCTATGTACAGCACAGTGATGATGTTACTGCTGCTTTTGTTCTGGCGGCTTCTGAATGGTGTGAGTTTTCGAGTTTTATGAGGGTGTCTGTTGAGGTGAAGGTGGACGGGAGCCGCATGTGACGGAGATAACAACGTTCCTGAGACGAAACTCCAATTTATGAGCAATAAAAACTGTCAATGATTAACCGGCTTCTATGTGAGAAACCAAAACGTCCAATCACATCGCCCAGTGTTTATCCCGAGGTCACATGACATCAGGAAATCCCCTCATGATACTTAAAGGATCTGTCCATCCAGGAGTGACAGTTTAGGTATAGGCGGAGCCAACTGGGATGGTGGGAGCTCCTCATAATGGGCACAGCGGGTGGACAGACCCGGGAACTAAGCACAGGGATGGTGGGAGCTCCTCATAATGGGCCCAGCGGGTGTACAGACCCGGGAACTCGGCACCGGGATGGTGGGAGCTCCTCATAATGGGCCCAGCGGGTGTACAGACCCGGGAACTCGGCACCGGGATGGTGGGAGCTCCTCATAATGGGCCCAGCGGGTGTACAGACCCGGGAACTCGGCACCGGGATGGTGGGAGCTCCTCATAATGGGCCCAGCGGGTGTACAGACCCGGGAACTCGGCACCGGGATGGTGGGAGCTCCTCATAATGGGCCCAGCGGGTGTACAGACCCGGGAACTCGGCACCGGGATGGTGGGAGCTCCTCATAATGGGCCCAGCGGGTGTACAGACCCGGGAACTCGGCACCGGGATGGTGGGAGCTCCTCATAATGGGCCCAGCGGGTGTACAGACCCGGGAACTCGGCACCGGGATGGTGGGAGCTCCTCATAATGGGCCCAGCGGGTGTACAGACCCGGGAACTCGGCACCGGGATGGTGGGAGCTCCTCATAATGGGCCCAGCGGGTGTACAGACCCGGGAACTCAGCACAGGGATGGTGGAAGCTCCTCATAATGGGCACAGCAGTTGTACAGACCCCGGAACTCGGCACAGGGATGGTGGGGGCCCCTCATAATGGGCACAGCAGGTGTACAGACCCGGGAACTCAGCACAGGGATGGTGGAAGCTCCTCATAATGGGCACAGCGGGGGAACAGATCCGGGAACTCAGCACAGGGATGGTGGAAGCTCCTCATAATGGGCACAGCGGGGGAACAGATCCGGGAACTCAGCACAGGGATGGTGGAAGCTCCTCATAATGGGCACAGCGGGGGAACAGATCCGGGAACTCAGCACAGGGATGGTGGAAGCTCCTCATAATGGGCACAGCGGGGGAACAGATCCGGGAACTCAGCACAGGGATGGTGGAAGCTCCTCATAATGGGCACAGCGGGGGAACAGATCCGGGAACTCAGCACAGGGATGGTGGAAGCTCCTCATAATGGGCACAGCGGGGGAACAGATCCGGGAACTCAGCACAGGGATGGTGGAAGCTCCTCATAATGGGCACAGCGGGGGAACAGATCCGGGAACTCAGCACAGGGATGGTGGAAGCTCCTCATAATGGGCACAGCGGGGGAACAGATCCGGGAACTCAGCACAGGGATGGTGGAAGCTCCTCATAATGGGCACAGCGGGGGAACAGATCCGGGAACTCAGCACAGGGATGGTGGAAGCTCCTCATAATGGGCACAGCGGGGGAACAGATCCGGGAACTCAGCACAGGGATGGTGGAAGCTCCTCATAATGGGCACAGCGGGGGAACAGATCCGGGAACTCAGCACAGGGATGGTGGAAGCTCCTCATAATGGGCACAGCGGGGGAACAGATCCGGGAACTCAGCACAGGGATGGTGGAAGCTCCTCATAATGGGCACAGCGGGGGAACAGATCCGGGAACTCAGCACAGGGATGGTGGAAGCTCCTCATAATGGGCACAGCGGGGGAACAGATCCGGGAACTCAGCACAGGGATGGTGGAAGCTCCTCATAATGGGCACAGCGGGGGAACAGATCCGGGAACTCAGCACAGGGATGGTGGAAGCTCCTCATAATGGGCACAGCGGGGGAACAGATCCGGGAACTCAGCACAGGGATGGTGGGAGCCCCTCATAATGGGCACAGCGGGTGTACAGACCCGGGAGCTCCTCATAATGGGCACAGCTGGTGTACAGACTCGGGAACTCAGCACAGGGATGGTGGGAGCCCCTCATAATGGGCACTGCAGGTATACAGACCTGGGAACTCAGCTCAGGGATGGTGGGATACCCCTCATAATGAGCACAGCAGGTATACAGACCCGGGAACTCAGCACAGGGATGGGGGGAGCCCCTCATAATGGGCACAGCGGGTGTACAGACCCGGGAACTCAGCACAGGGATGGGGGGAGCCCCTCATAATGGGCACAGCGGGTATACAGACCCGGGAACTCAGCACAGGGATGGTGGGAGCTCCTCATAATGGGCACACCAGGTTTACAGACCCGGGAACTCAGCACAGGGATGGTGGGAACCCCTCATAACATCTTAACAAACATTTCTCATGTGGTTTTGTCCTCCTCAGGTCTCGGGATGGTCACACCGATCAATGACATCCACCCCGCCATAGAGTCCAACATGGTGAAAGGGGAGAAGCAGACGCGGTGTAAGCTGGCCAGCATTTACCGCTTGGCTGACCTCTTTGGATGGGCGCACTTGAGCAACGCCTACATCACGGTGAGTCCCACGTTCTCTGATTTCCGGGATCTCTTTCTAGCACACAGTAGCTCCTCCCCTTTCCTTGCTGAAGACCCCTCCATTGTAGGCGAGTGTTCGGTTCTGATGGGGCGGCTCTTTTTCGAGGCAGCTCTCAAGTGCAAAGCGAGCCCAGACACAGGCCTCAGGGCAACGCCTTATATTGGGAGTAAAGCCGTGCAGATATTTTCTGTATCACTCAATTTCATCCGTCATCATCTACACTATATATCTGCAATGAGAACACTGCCGGCCAACCACAGCCCTCCCTTCCCATCATTGAGGAGCTCCCACCCTTCTTTCCCAGGTAGCCTCCCTTGCCCATGGAACCCCTGCGTATGCGCAATATGAGGTCCAGTATTACATGTCTGTGAAGGATCTCATTCATCCAGGTCATGGTGTATCTGTAACAAACACATTAAAGGAGAACTATGAGGTTAAGGCTTTTCCCCATAGTTCTCCTTAGGGTAACGGGAGGACACAAACTAGCGTCCTCCCGTCACCCTAGGCTCAGTATATAGGGAGCTGTAGCTTGCGGTATACTGAGACGCCGCAATATGCAAAAGAGATGTAAAAAAACATTTATGTTAAAATGCAGAAGGCAAGCTTGAATGAAGGCGGGGGCGGGTTAATAACACCTGCTAGCTCCAATCATGCAAATGCAATCAACGCCTGACCTCCTCGAGGTCTCTGACCCCACGCTGGTTATGATCAACAGATTAAGTTGATTGGAGCAACATTCACCATCTTTATTCCCAGATATTTTTTTGTACAAGTCATTCTGAATTGAGAAAGCTGGTCGCAAAGGACGGTCACATCCAGTTTATCTTTAAACTTTTGACCTGAAGTTGTAAATCTTCAATTAAAACCCCACCTGGGATGAATTATTCATGGCTGCGTGGGATGGGGCGGAGCCGATACCTTGTCAAGTCTTCAAGGGCTTGTTCACTCCACATGTATAATCAGTTGTCAACAAAGTAACCATTCATAGAACAATGTGTACACGCAATGCTTTTGGGACTGTGTGATATTTGTTGTATATATGTATATATATATATATGTGTGTGTGTGTATATATATAAATATATACATACATACATACATGTGCACACCATTTCCTGGCCAATCAGAAAGCTGAGCAGCAAGTAATGACCAGGCTCCCTGATTGGCCATGAAGCTGGCTCCTTGCTGATTGGCTGGAAAGCCAGCTTCCCGGCAAATCAGCATTGAGTCAGCTGTTCAGGCTCAGCTCGATGCCGATTGGCCAGGGAGCCTGCTTCCCATAACCCAACAATCAGGGAGGTGGGTCATTACTCGCCGCCCGGCTTCATGATCCGCACGGGAAGCGGGCCCCATATTCCCCTACGGCACTGCCGGTCAGAGGAAATCTTCCTCTGACCGGAAGTTCCGGTATCGGAGCATTTGGGCGAGTACTAGTATCTGTATCAGTGCATCCCTAATATATACATACACAGAGAGAGACACACAACAATTGATTCCTATTCCTTTGCAGCTCCCTTTGTCTGATTCATTTGTGTTAATGAGGTTGGATGGTTTTTAAACTGTTGCTTTAACCCCTTCATGACTGAGGCCCTTTTTTCCATTTTTGCACCCAAGTTCTGTAACGGGAGGAATTCTTGTAGAAGAGCTAGAAGTGTTCATCTGCCAATAAGGTAAAAACTGTCTAGAGCTCCCCCTGGTGGTTGGATAGAAGACTTCAGCTGCTTACAGTTACATTGCCTTCAGTCTTCTGCTGCTCCATCCAGCTGCTTGGAGTAAAGGGAAGAATCTGTGTGCAAGCTCTAAGTCAATCTGCTCGGAGCTTACGCAGGGCTGAGGGGCCACCCCATGTGACAGTGCTGGGGTTTGGTGATTGGCCTGCAATGTTGCAGCAAGGGGAGGGAGTCACCCATCTGTGTTCTCATAGCTTAACCAATGTCCCCCGTCTTATTCCCATCTTCTCTACAGGTCAGAGTGAGCAAGGAGCAGGACCACATTCTCATCATTCCCAGAGGCCTCTCCTTCTCCGAAGCGTCGGCCTCCAATTTGGTGAGTGGACTCTACGGCCTCCGCCCATAATTCTATTATCAATCTTTGCAATCCCTTACCTTACCTCCGCTACACATGTGCAGTTATTGTGTCTGGCACTGACGTGTGGAGTCTTCCTCCCGGTACACATGCGCAGTTATTGTGTCTGGCACTGACGTGTGGTGGCCTCCTCTGCTGCACATACACGATTATTGGTTCTGGCTCCAGTAACATGTGGGGGGGCCTCCTCTTGTGCGCATGTGTCTGGCTCCGAGAACACGTCTGCAGAGAAGAAGATGGAATAAAGGTTTGTTTCCGGTGATTGGCATTACACAGCAGAGCGTGAACATATAGGGGCCCTTTGGGGCCGATGGTTATTTATGAGATCAGCTTGGTTGGTTTTCTGCTCATTAGCTGCCAGTTTCCAGGAGTGTGTATGAGGAGAAGAGGAATTGTTGGTCTCGCGTGTCACATACGCAGTCGGTGTTAAGAATCTTCTTTTCTCTGAATTCCAGGTCTCCTCCATGAAATGCGGCATCCTCCCCATCTCTCAGGAGGCCTTGCTCCTCGGGGATGTGGCTTACTACAACTATCAGGGCTCTCTGGACGAGCAGCAAGAGAGGATCCAGCTGCAGAAGGTTCTGGGCCCGAGTGCCAAGGTACAACTTATCCCATTGTCTGTCCTGCTGTGTTTCTTCTAGATTGGGCTCAGGCCTGCGGTAGTACTATAATGCTGCATCCCCTGGTTAATGCTACTGTATGTGCGTACTCAATATTTACAGGGCCGCTGATGCAGCATTATTGTACTTATTGTACCTATGTACATATTGTACAGCACTGTGCTCTCCTCATACATACCCATTGTACAGCACTGTGCTCTGATCATACATACCCATTGTACAGCACTGTGCTCTCCTCATACATACCCATTGTACAGCACTGTGCTCTCCTCATACATACCCATTGTACAGCACTGTGCTCTCCTCATACATACCCATTGTACAGCACTGTGCTCTCCTCATACATACCCATTGTACAGCACTGTGCTCTCCTCATACATACCCATTGTACAGCACTGTGCTCTCCTCATACATACCCATTGTACAGCGCTGTGCTCTGATCATACATACCCATTGTACAGCACTGTGCTCTCCTCATACATACCCATGTAGAGCACTGTGCTCTCCTCATACATACCCATTGTACAGCACTGTGCTCTGATCATACATACCCATTGTACAGCACTGTGCTCTCCTCATACATACCCATTGTACAGCACTGTGCTCTGATCATACATACCCATTGTACAGCACTGTGCTCTCCTCATACATACCCATTGTACAGCACTGTGCTCTGATCATACATACCCATTGTACAGCACTGTGCTCTCCTCATACATACCCATGTAGAGCACTGTGCTCTCCTCATACATACCCATTGTACAGCACTGTGCTCTCCTCATACATACCCATTGTACAGCACTGTGCTCTCCTCATACGTACCCATTGTACTGTACTCCATATTGTATAATGTGTGCAATATGTTCTCAGCCCAGACAATATTCCCCTATCATTATGTTTGCTCTCTGTGTGCAGGTTCTGGTGCTGCGGAATCACGGGGTGATGGCTTTGGGCGAGACGTTGGAGGAAGCGTTCCATTACATCTTCAACGTACAGCTGGCCTGTGAAGTGCAGGTAACGCGCGTTCCATCACTGCGCCAAAAGCGTGAAGGGATTCTAGGAAGAGATGCCTGTACCTGAATGTCTGCCGCTGTCATAAAACGTCTGAGAGTCGCCCTTCTGTCTTTATATATCTACCTCTCACCACATAGATAGATATAATGTATGTTGTCAGGATTGGGCCACTGAGGCCGCCCTGCTATAGGGTGACAACGCTCTGTTGCAGTGAAGACTTCAAGTGGCTATTTTAACACACATTAGGCAGACGCGGTCCAATGTTGTCACCATCAGGAGCCCCCCCTGAGACATGCCATGCAGCCTTCGCTGGAGTGCATGTAGACAGGAAGTGGCTGCAGAGATGCCGCAGGAGATCGGCAGCTCGGAGATGTAACAAAAGGGTGAAATTAGTTTATTAGAAACTAATGTCAGTTTACGATACACCGCGCTCGGAGGAAACGAAATGTCATCGGATTATTGTCTTACATCTGTGTGCATGGTTCTGTCCCTGCAGGTCCACGCTCTGGCCGGCTCCGGAGGGATCGACAACCTCCTCCTTCTGGACCTGGAGAAGTATAAAGCCACCACATATTCGCTGGCTGCGGCTGATGGGGGAGCGGTGAACATGGGGGGCCAGCACACGTGGAAGGTGGGGGAGCTGGAGTTTGAATCCCTCATGAGGATGCTGGACAACCTGGTGAGTGTCGGAGGTTTTCACAGGAAGTCAGAAAATACAGCGATGGGCTGTGCGCAAAAGTGATTCCCGGGTACCTGAAGCGCTGGGGTCACAGGGTCAGAGGTTGTAGGCTCTTCCTGCGCAGGTGTGTGTCCTGCAGGGGCTCAAATTACAGGAACTTGTTAAACACTGAAATTTGTATCAATAGGAGATATCGGTCTAGATCAATAAGATTTATTGATTGTCATCAGTAGAAAGTATTGATTGTCATCAGTAGGAGGTATTGATTGTCATCAGTCGGAGGTATTGATTGTCATCAGTCGGAGGTATTGATTGTCATCAGTCGGAGGTATTGATTGTCATCAGTCGGAGGTATTGATTGTCATCAGTCGGAGGTATTGATTGTCATCAGTCGGAGGTATTGATTGTCATCAGTCGGAGGTATTGATTGTCATCAGTCGGAGGTATTGATTGTCATCAGTCGGAGGTATTGATTGTCATCAGTCGGAGGTATTGATTGTCATCAGTCGGAGGTATTGATTGTCATCAGTCGGAGGTATTGATTGTCATCAGTCGGAGGTATTGATTGTCATCAGTCGGAGGTATTGATTGTCATCAGTCGGAGGTATTGATTGTCATCAGTCGGAGGTATTGATTGTCATCAGTCGGAGGTATTGATTGTCATCAGTCGGAGGTATTGATTGTCATCAGTCGGAGGTATTGATTGTCATCAGTCGGAGGTATTGATTGTCATCAGTCGGAGGTATTGATTGTCATCAGTCGGAGGTATTGATTGTCATCAGTCGGAGGTATTGATTGTCATCAGTCGGAGGTATTGATTGTCATCAGTCGGAGGTATTGATTGTCATCAGTCGGAGGTATTGATTGTCATCAGTCGGAGGTATTGATTGTCATCAGTCGGAGGTATTGATTGTCATCAGTCGGAGGTATTGATTGTCATCAGTCGGAGGTATTGATTGTCATCAGTCGGAGGTATTGATTGTCATCAGTCGGAGGTATTGATTGTCATCAGTCGGAGGTATTGATTGTCATCAGTCGGAGGTATTGATTGTCATCAGTCGGAGGTATTGATTGTCATCAGTCGGAGGTATTGATTGTCATCAGTCGGAGGTATTGATTGTCATCAGTCGGAGGTATTGATTGTCATCAGTCGGAGGTATTGATTGTCATCAGTCGGAGGTATTGATTGTCATCAGTCGGAGGTATTGATTGTCATCAGTCGGAGGTATTGATTGTCATCAGTCGGAGGTATTGATTGTCATCAGTCGGAGGTATTGATTGTCATCAGTCGGAGGTATTGATTGTCATCAGTCGGAGGTATTGATTGTCATCAGTCGGAGGTATTGATTGTCATCAGTCGGAGGTATTGATTGTCATCAGTCGGAGGTATTGATTGTCATCAGTCGGAGGTATTGATTGTCATCAGTCGGAGGTATTGATTGTCATCAGTCGGAGGTATTGATTGTCATCAGTCGGAGGTATTGATTGTCATCAGTCGGAGGTATTGATTGTCATCAGTCGGAGGTATTGATTGTCATCAGTCGGAGGTATTGATTGTCATCAGTAGGAGGTATCGATTGTCATCAGTAGGAGGCATTGATTGTCATCAGTAAGAGGCATTGATTGTCATCAGTAAGAGGTATTGATTGTCATCAGTAGGAGGTATTGATTGTCATCAGTAGGAGGTATTGATTGTCATCAGTAGGAGGTATTGATTGTCATCAGTAGGAGGTATTGATTGTAATCAGTAGGCGGTATTGATTGTCATCAGTAGGAGGTATTGATTGTCATCAGTAGGAGGTATTGATTGTCATCAGTAGGAAGTATTGATTGTCATCAGTAGGAAGTATTGATTGTCATCAGTAGGAAGTATTGATTGTCATCAGTAGGA